GGGCACTGATCTTTCATTCACCATGGAGGATGCGTGAAACAGGATTGATGTAGGACGTCACATCAGTGCGTGATCATTGGCGTCCAGAACTTTAAAGTGCGCCGCTGGTTTTGTTCACTCTGTCGTGCTATGAGCAGAGCGAAACTGAAATTGAATTCATGTACGTCTGAATACGAATTGGAGGTTTTCAACCTTAAGAGCTATGAAAACTGAGACGGACATTGGTCAGAAATCCAGACGTGACTGCCTGTTTGAGGCCGTCGCTCGTGAGGAGGAAGATGGGCGAAATACGGGACGGTTTTAGGCACATTCAAACAAGATCCGACAGCGGGTGACTGATTTTTAAAGAACAGCACAGGTAGTTATATATATATTATATATATATATATATATATTATATATATATATTATTTATTTATTATTTTATTTGTATATATAATATATATACACATGTATTTATATACATAGATGTATATATACATATATGTGTGTGCGCGTATGCGTGTGTGTGTGCATGTGTGCGTGCGTGTGTGTGTACGTGCATGTGCGTGTGCGTGAAGGCGTATGAACATAAGGTCCACATTTTTGCAAGATGCAGGCAGTCAAGACCCATAAAATGGGTAGCCGCAACGAGGTGGGAAGTTTTTGCATCCTTGTTCTCTGCTCTCTGCATCTCCGTTCATACTTGAGGATGAAGCCAGTTGGGACGGTGGATCATAAATTTTATTTGTGAGGATGCAACTATACCTCCTGGAAGACTCCTGAATATAATTACGTTGAAGCAGGGTCCTCACTTTGGACATGGTGTGTTTTTTTTAATTGTCTCCGAAGCTAGGCAAATGAAAACAGTATAATGCCAATGCATTACATCCATTTGTTTTTCTCACACAGGAGCTTTGATACTTAAATTTAGCAATGTGCTATATGTCAACAAAGATCAGTTCCTCCCAAATTCAGCTGCAATGCTAACCGTTTAGGCTCAATAAGAGCGCCGTCAACACCGGGATGAACAATAGTTATGCTGCATTGGAGCAATTTGTTGATTATTGTATGCTTAGTCACCTTGGCAGAAGTAAAAATTAAAGTTCGGTTTTCCAAAGCAGCACCCATGTGCTGAGCCCCACGACTTTCTGACAATTTAGCATAGGTCTTATTAGTGCTGATTGGAAAGAACTAACCAAACATATTATGTTCCCTCCAAATTTAAAGAACTTCAATGATTCCATCACGTAGAGGAGAGTAAAGAGGGTTGCATCAGATTTTACTCTGCATTCCCTTCTGCTACAACTACAGAGGATAGGACTGATGTTCTTATAATTACACACATATATAAACTTGAGCTTTATATGTAGAGGTAAGCTTTTGGAGGGCACATTTTTTTCTGGTGAATGACCTCTGAATGAACCCCCTCAAATGAGAAAGCCTGCCCCATCTCGCGTAACCTGTATCACATAGATATGGAAGTTGTGCCCATGTGCTTTTTTCATAGAGCTGCATCGAAAGCAGGTTAAATGTGGCGATGACATGTAGACCAGAAGCGTTTGTTTTTGCTATTGCGTAATAGCCATGATTGCGACATGATAGTTGTTTGCTTCTTTTAATCAGGCAGTGTTTCCTCCACGACTGTTGCCCACCATCGGTTGTGGTTGCTCAGGTGGACACATCATGGATTTACGAAGGTAACGTAACTGGTCGGCACGCGTCATGATGCCAGTAAAACATGGTAATCATGCGATTTAATTCTTCTCGGCAAGTCACCAAAAACGTATTGTCGGCACATTGGGTTAACGATTTAGCATTGCGCCATGCGCAGCTGATATGATATGTGCCGCCCGCCATCTTGGAAGAAAGTTCGCGCCACCCCTGAAAGTCCTTTGTTAGCAGACGTCAAACGCTTTGCAGTATGTACAACACATGCACTTTTCCACCATTACGTATCGCATTCAGATTGATCTCGTTGAGCCATAGGCCCTTAAACGCACACTTACAACGATCACTAAAGTTTCAATGACATGCAACAAAAGACTTGTCGCACCCATCCCAAGACGAGCGCACGTAAGCGGCGCCGGAATAGCACTGTAAAGTAGACTGAGCTATTGTGCGTCAGCTGAGAGACTCAAACACTGTCATCCGTCGCATAGATTTGGAATAAATCACTCTGAAAGAGTGCTTCACATTTGAACATCTTGAAGGCAATCATCAGATATGATGACGACAGCTCACTTATGGCTATTGGTATACTTTTTAAGGAAAAAGACTGCTCTAGACAGCACAATTGTTTAGTAAATGCGCACCAGCAATGCGTCATGGCTTGGTTACGTCACTGTCCCCATGCACAGTATTGGATTGAGGCCAGGTTACGTTATATCTGGAAATCGCGCTCACGAACGCCAGATATGAACGCATTGACGACTGTATTTTCTTGGCCTTCATCACCGCATGGCTTATGGAATGACCGGATTTGAATGACGTTATTATGACGTCATAAATGCCAGGGGACTTTTTAAATTTGGTCCGAATCCTTTGAATGGATGGATTTCTGGATCAGCGCTCACGTTAAGCAGTGCTTGTTGTGTGAGCCCTGACCCCCACCATCCGATCGCGCAGTTCCAGGCAACGGCAGAATTTAGTGGCGAAAGGGTTAACGTGCCGCAATGCTCGGCACGGTCCGTCCTGCCCTCTGACGTCAACTGGCCTTTAGCGACGAACCGCTGCCACCGGCCGCAGGCCATACCTGCCAAGGGCAAATAGCGAGCGCCCTAAAGTGACTCGAACCCACCCCGCCACGGATGGGTGGGTCGGAATGCAGGCGCTCTAATCAACTGAGCCACCGGGACGGACAAAGGATCAGGAAAGGGTTGAAACATCCAGATGACTAGGTATCGCCCAAGGACGGCTCCCCGACTTTGAAATACTCTCCGATATACCTTTCCCCATTTTCGCGGGCGTGTAGCCCAGAAACTAGAGGGCTTAAGTTTTAAGAAGGAGAGGATTTTGAGCACTGCCGAAAGGTCTTCAAGATGGCTATTTCAGTTCAAAACCCCATAAAAATGTGGAGCCCTTCCTTGAACTACTTGGACAGGACATGAACTACATGCAACTTACCTCACGCACTTCTACGACGTGCTTACGTTCACAAATGGCGCTTATTGCCATAAACGGACTAAGACACCTTCCCCAAGCTAGTGCATGCTGATCCCCCAATTGTGAGTCGGGGAGCCGTCCTTGGGCGATACCTAGTCATCTGGATGTTTCAACCCTTTCCTGATCCTTCACAGGCATAGCTCTCACCAAACGCTGGGACTTATGACGTCACAATCAGCTACGTCACGCTCAAGTAGCTGCGTTCCAAAGTAAGGGAATCGTTGCGACCTAGTCACTTGTGCCACCATCTCAATTAGCTTGAGAACGCCGTTTGACGATCCTAGGAACCGCTTCTAGACTTCTTCCCCTTGGTAACAGCAGTGACATCTAGCGAGGGATTGAAATGCTATTAGTTTGCAGAACCTCCTGCCAGTGTGCCAGCTTCGTCACTTGTACCTAAGGGAAACTAATATATCGTGGTACCGTGTACATGCCATGTTCCTACCAAAAAGTAACGGGTACCAAACGGTACATCCGCCAAAAAAAGAACACCAGGCTCGTCACGCATCACCTACTGCCTCTTATGGGAATCAAAATAGCACGCGTATGCTCGGGAATTTCGGTCTCAAAATACTATTACGTATGTGTGTGTGTGCATGAGTCCGTTTAGAATATTCATTGTCAAGGTAACACATCGGTCTTCAGGGTGACGTTGCCATCAGGGTACCATGAACACTCAATAACACCTTCCTGTGAACGAGGTAAATTTTGTTTTCCGTCCCAGCCAATTAAACCCATGGAAGTGCCTCGACTTCTGATCATACTACGTAGTA